GATTGTTCTCTAAACAAGGTGAGAACTCAATTAAGCACAATTCTAAGTCACAAACCCCACAACCCAAAATATACTATGAATGTAAATACTATAAGCTCAATTGGTTGTGTGTGAACAAAGAGTATCAATAAAACGATTAAACTCAATATAGAAATCTAGCTTATGGAAATTAAGATCAAAACAATAAATAGCTAGAATTGAGTTTAAGGAAAACTTCTCTATAGATCAAGAGTGAGAGAGAGATGAGTTGAATGCCCAAACACCAAAGGATGATCTCCTCTTTGCTCTTGTGAAATTTGCTTCACAAACTCAAACAAACTCTTAAACTCTTTTAAACAAAACTTAAACCCTTGATTAAAAACTTTCTTAAACTTGTTTTAAAACTCTCTTAGCCAATTGAAAAGACATCAGCAATGGGGTATATATAGCCTCCCAAGAATTCAGCCAAGAATCCAAACAAAATGACCAAAAGGCCCAAAACAGAAGTTCTGCAATGGCTAGAAAAATAGCCGTTGGGAGACCTGACAGCGATTCGGTCGACCGAAAAAATGATTCGGTCGACCGACCCGAAAATCCGGTCGACCGCGAACCGCGAACAACCTTGAAAATCCAGAAAACAAGCGGAGCCATCATCGGTCGACCGACGCGGTCGACCGATATAGAAATCGAAATTTCGGTCGACCGTACCGGTCGACCGACGACTCTCTGGAAAACTACTGAGAAAAGATCATTTGACCGGTCGACCGTACCGGTCGACCGACGACTCTCTGGAAAACTACTGAGAAATGATCATTTGACCGGTCGACCGTACCGGTCGACCGAAAACTGACATCCCAGAAAAACAAAGCTGATTTTAAAACACTGTTTAAAAATATCAAATAAATTCAGAAAAATATAAAACTTTGGGAAATGATTTTAGACATGATAATACACATGCTACAAAAACTGGTTTTCTAAAAAGACTTCCCAAATGAGAAATATCATCATTTTGCAAAATAGTCCAAAACATGAAAATGTAAACATATGAATCTTGACATTTTAGCTTAACCATGTTTTGAAACATTACAAAATGATTTTGTAGACTTAATAAGAGATGTATATGATTATTGTTAAGTCTATAAACCAAGGAAACAATATTTTCACAAATACAATAGAAAGTAAAACGTATGAGTATGTATATGAAAATATATTTGTTTCATATCTATGAAATTAAACCAAAACAACTTATCCACATAGAAAACAAGCATGTATACATAATTTTTTGGAATTTATTTGTAAAAACTTTGTTTGTGGATAAAACTAAAAACCAAGATGTATATGTATATAACTATATATATATATATACTAAGAAACTAATAAATGTGTGTGTGAATATAATATTAAGCTTAGAGTATATAACACACATAATATAAACCCTAAACTAAATTACCCAAGCAATCTTGATCTTCAATAAGCTCTTCTAGGTAATCTCTCGGATGAAGCTTTAACTTGGATCTTGCACTTTGAATAGCAAGGCTTCACCGACATTCCGCCAACCTCCTTTGGATATGATCGTTGAAGCTCTATTCCATCCATCCTCCAACTACGTTGTTTGTCTATAATAAATAAGAAAACACAAATACTAGACAAATAACATTAGTGGTAAATTGTTTGTTGAACATCATCAAAACAAGAAGGCCAACACAGTGGTGTTGAGCTTAGTAGCTGCTAAAAATCTCTACCTTGAACAGCTAGATATGAAGACTGCATTTCTTCATGACGACTTGGATGAAGAAATCTACATAAAGCAACTTGTTGGCTTCATTGAGGAAGGAAATGAAGAGATGATGCGTAGGCTCAAGAAGAGCTTATAAGATTGAAACAGGCTCCACAACATTGAGTTTTTCTTGAAATTAAAATTCAAGGCTTAAAGCCTACCGTATTGATCCCTTGTGACTTCTATCTTCTTGAAGAAGTTCCACCTATCGGATCTCAGCCTTTTAGGAGCTCTAAGTGCAGAATCATCGCCACCGGATTCATGATCAATATTGATAGGAGGAGTAATTGTAGCTCCTGTAGTAGGAGTATTAGGACTCGTTTCAACGTCGGGAGTTGGGATTTGCTCTTCATAATCAGAGGAGAAAGCCATTTGATTGAAGACTTAGAGAGAGCAAAAGCGAGAATAAGAAAGTATTAGAGAATATTAGAGAGAAGTAGATGAGTTTTGGATGAGAAAAATAAATGAAAACTCTCTATTTATAGATGCAGCCCCTAGCCAAATGACCAAAATACCCTCAAAATTTGGCCTTTTTTGGACCGTTTTAGTCATATTTTGGTCACAAGCGCAAAATGGCCGTTATGGCTGTTCGGACCGGGCCGGGTCAGGGTCGGGCCCGAGCTGCCCGGCCAGCGGTCACATTCGTGAAAAAGTGAAAAAGGCTTGATCTTAGCTCTAGAAAAATTGAAATGGAAAGAACAAAAGACAACATTGTCTTAATATTTTATAGGACAACCTAAATTTTTGAGTAAAATTAGAAATATTTGGGAGAGATTTTCACAAAATTTAAATATTTTTATATACTTATTTTGTGGATGCTTTTATCATATAAAATTATATTAGAATTAGCATTAATGTTTAGTTTATGGTTTTTAATAAAGTCTATCAATAATTAGGGATAAGATTCGTATTATCTTTTGTGTTATTTTAGTCACTTCTAATCAATCGTCTATGCTTATTAGCTTTAATTATTCCTCTTGCTATTATAATGCTATTTTTAGGTATTTTTTAAGTTTACAACACTATACTTTTTTGGGAAAAATGTGTCCAGGCCCCAAAAACAGAGACTTCATGTGCTGCAGCCCCTTCTAGTTTCCCCCATGTGGTTCAGCCCCTTGAAGTGTGACATTTTGTGCTGCAGCCCCTTTTTAACAATTATTACATGCCAACTAAGCTAAAATCCCCAAAATAACCTTACCCCCTCTCCTCAATCCTTCAAACCCAGTTCTCTCTCTCTCTTTCTCTCTCCCCTCTCTCTCCTCTCTCTCTCTTTAAAAACAAGGGTTTTCTCAAGCTCGTCGCTCTGGCCCTCGCCCTCCTTGCCGTCGCCACCTCCGCCCAGACTCCCAAGCCTCCCCCGAGTTCGTCGCCGCCTCCTCTCCTCTCCTCCGCCCGACCTCGTCGCGGTAGCTCGCCGTCGCTCCCCGTCTCGCCCTCGACTACGCCGGCAAAATAATTTGGATTTCTTATAGATGCAGACCTGCAACCTGCCACTTTTGAACCCTATAGTATGGTAGGCCGGAGGAGGATGACCAAGAGAAAAGAGTGCATGATGCCCAAGAAAAGTAAAAATGAAGGGGCTGCAGGCACAAGGTCACTCTTTTTTTTTGGAATTTGATGAGAAGCCACTGCTTGTTAAAGAGATTGTTAGTCAAGATGGTTAAAATTAAAACTAACGTGGTATAAAATAGAACTAACTTGGAATAAAATAGAACTAACATTGTATAAATTAGAACTAACTTGGTATAAATTAGAACTAACGTGGTATAAATTAGAACTAACGTGGTTAAAATTAGAACTAATTTGTTATAAATTAGAACTACCTTGTTATAAATTAGAACTAATATGGTTAAAATTAGAACTAACGTGGTATAAAATAAAACTAACTTGATATAAATTAGAACTAACACGGTATAAAATAAAACTAACGTGGTATAAAATAGAACTAACATTGTATAAATTAGAACTAACGTGGTATAAATTAGAACTAACGTGGTTAAAATTAGAACTAATTTGTTATAAATTAGAACTACCTTGTTATAAATTAGAACTAATATGGTTAAAATTAGAACTAACGTGGTATAAAATAAAACTAACTTGATATAAATTAGAACTAACACGGTATAAAATAGAACTAACGTGGTATAAATTAGGACAAACTTGGTATAAATTAGAACTAACGTAGTATAAAATAAAATAACGTGGTATAAATTAGAACTAACGCAGTGTAAAATAGAACTAACGTGATATAAATTAGAACTAATTTGGTATAAATTAGAACTAACATGGTATAGAATAGAACTAACATTGTGAAGTTTAGAACTAACACGCTACAGAATAGAACTAACACTGTGCAGATTAGAACTAACACTGTAGACAGAATAGAACTAACATTGTGCAGATTAGAACTAACACTGTAGACAGAATAGAACTAACATTGTAGACAGAATAGAACTAACATTGTGCAGATTAGAACTAACACTGTAGACAGAATAGAACTAACATTGTAGACAGAATAGAACTAACATTGTAGACAGAATAGAACTGTAGACAGAATAGAACTAACATTGTAGACAGAATAGAACTAACATTGTGCAGATTAGAACTAACACTGTAGACAGAATAGAACAAAATCTTGTTATCTAGTCCTAAGGGCATCTCCAACCCAGCTCCATTTTGGTGCAAACAGTGCTTTTTGTTGCACTGTTCCTTCTCCAATCCAGCCCCATTTTCTGCTCCATTTTGGTGCAAATGAACAGTGCTGCACCAAATATGGCGTCGCACTGTTCATCCACCTCATTACTGTTCACTTTTTTTTAAAAAAATTTAAATATTTGTTTTTACCTCTCAATTAATATAAAAATAGATAAAAGGGAATAAAGTGAGAATATACTGAGAATATTCTTTTTTGGTGCAAAAAATGGTGCAATGGGTTGGAGATGTATTACTGTTTGATGTGACTTTTGCACCATTTTGATGCAAAATTTGCACCATTTTGATGCAATGGGTTGGAGATGGTCTAATGGAAGTGTTTAATAAGAAAATAGATAGGTTTGTGTTTTTTTAATAAGAAAATAATGAAAATGGCAAGTCTGTCAATCAACTCTTTTCTTTATTTAAGCAATGCGAGATGAACTAGGAATGTTGAGCTATTATTGACATTGAACCCTGCGAGTGGAGGGCAGTTTCAAGAAGTGTATGAACTATTAGTCCAAAATTAGTAGGCACGGGAGAGGAGACTTACAAGCTGAGCCACGATGAAGGCACTGACCAAGAGAAGCCCAGGGCGCTCAACAAAGAACCACCTGCGAGATCGAGTCACAAATATGAGAGCTTGGCTCACAATACTGACTTGCAGGTATAAAGCAGACATCATTTCGTCTTCCCTGTGCCTCAATGATCTCACACTGAATTTGTCCTGAAGATTGGCAACAAAATGAAAATTAGTCATCATTAGGAAAGCATATCACAGTTTAGTAATAAAGGAAAAAGATTCCTTACAGAGAAGAAGTCGGTCTCCTTCATAGCCCAGAAGAAGATGACAGTCATCAATGCCAAATAACTACCAAGGACTACACCTGTAGCAAAAATTTCCTTGAGCTTCCAACTGTCGGGTAATGGAGATGGCTTCACTCGATCCTTTGAAATAGTCATGATTGTACCTGAAACAATGACCACGAGACACAAGAGAAGCAGTTTCAACATCACGACAATAAATGAACGTGTACCAGAGGACACATGGTTAATGGTATTGACATTTAAGTTTCTAGAAAAACTTACCATCATTAAGGATGACAATGATCAAAACCATGAAAGGGGAGAAATCAAATTTCCATATCAGTGCAATAAGCATGAATCCTAGCTGCAATAGTTTCGAAGTATGAAAATCACCATACAGGTAATGAAGTATAGTTAGCAAAATTTTCTAGGACTTATTGAAGTACATACCACAATACGGATGGTAATTGAGACGGCATAAATCTGCAAAATAGTGAAAAGCAAGATGAGTTAGCCATGAAGTACATTGACTTAACAAATTGGTAGATATGGTTACGTGCAATTAGACTCACGGTGTAATTCTTCATTCTCTGGAAAATAGCTCTACTAGTAAGAACAACACTTATAATCACACTTAGACCAGGTTCAATGAGAACAATATCAGAAGCACCTCTAAAATTGTATGTCACGGCGTTAAGCTATAATATTAGTTCTATTCTGTCTAGAATGTTAGTTCTATTCTGTCTACAGTGTTAGTTCTAATCTGCACAATGTTAGTTCTATTCTGTCTACAATGTTAGTTCTATTCTGTCTACAGTGTTAGTTCTAATCTGCACAATGTTAGTTCTATTCTGTCTACAATGTTAGTTCTATTCTGTCTACAATGTTAGTTCTATTCTGTCTACATTGTTAGTTCTAATCTGCATAATGTTAGTTCTATTCTGTCTACAATGTTAGTTCTATTCTGTCTACAATGTTAGTTCTATTCTGTCTACACTTTTCTTGGGCATCATGCACTCTTTTCTCTTGGTCATCCTCCTCCGGCCTACCATACTATAGGGTTCAAAAGTGCAGGCACAGCGACGAACTCCGGCGTAGTCGAGGGCGAGATGGGGAGCGACGGCGAGCTACCGCGACGAGGTCGGGCGGAGGAGAGGAGGGGAGGCGGCGACGAACTCGGGGGAGGCTTGGGAGCCTGGGCGGAGGTGGCGACGGCGAGGAGGGCGAGGGCCAGAGCGACGAGCTTGAGAAAACCCTTGTTTTTAAAGAGAGAGAGGGGAGAGAGAGGGGAGAGAGAAAGAGAGAGAGAGAGAGAACTGGGTTTGAAGGATTGAGGAGAGGGGGTAAGGTTATTTTGGGGATTTTAGCTTAGTTGGCATGTAATAATTGTTAAAAAGGGGCTGCAGCACAAAATGTCACACTTCAAGGGGCTGAACCACATGGAGGAAACTAGAAGGGGCTGCAGCACATGAAGTCTCTGTTTTTGGGGCCTGGACACATTTTTCCCTACTTTTTTAGGTAAAACTTCATTTCATGTCGATCTAAATAACATGCATATTCCAATTGGTTACATTTTGGTTTCGTGTGTCAATTCAATTATAAACATGAAACTTAAAATTGGGTGCAGTTCATTCAAATAAATATTAAAGAAGATAAATAACCACCGTATTAAATTTTAGAAGCACAGGTAAGCAAAAATTTTAATAAAGAAATAAAATAAAAATAAATAATTATGATAATTAAGGGCGAGTGCATAGAAACTAGCATCAGAAAACATAAAAACTCGTTTTGGGGTTTTGCGGGTCAAGGAGCAAGGTTTGCAAAATCTAGTAGTTTGGATTTCCAAAGTGAAAGCAGCGGTGAACCGTCGCGTCGAGTCAAATCTGGGACCAAGATCAAAAAATTTCAAAAAATCTATAAATAAAAGGAGACGTAAGAGCGAGAGCTAGATCCCACAAGACCCATGGCAACCCAACTCCGCCTAAAGCTTCTGATAGACACAAAAAGCAACAAAGTCTTGTTTGCGGAAGCAGGGAAGGAGGTGGTAGATTTCCTCTTCGGCCTCCTCTCCTTGCCGCTGGGCTCAGTTATCAAGCACATTACCGACGAGAAAATGGTGGGCTGCGTCGGTAGTCTCTACAAAAGCGCGGAGAACTTAGATGAGACCTACTTCGCCTCTAACGAAAACAAAACCAGTTTCCTAAATCCCATTTCAAAGAATACTCTGTTTTTGACTGGCACAAGCTCGACACCAGCACCAACAGCTGGGCGGAAGTCATATAGGTGCCCTATTAATAACTGTGCAAGCTATCCCGATGCTTATGGTGCTTGCTGTTCTTGCGGTTGTAAGATGACCACTGAGACGGTTTCCACGGCCGGGATAGTGAAGGGAATGGTGACTTATAGTGTGATGGACGATCTCACCATTACGCCGATGTCTGCTATCTCATGCATCACGCTGCTGAGCAAGTTCCATGTTAAGGACGTCGGATCGCTTGAGGAGCGGACGGTGAATATGGGGATGAGCGAGGTGAGCCTGAAATGGAATTTTGTTTTAATTTTTTCCTTTCTTTAAATTTTTTTGCCTACATTTTTTGATCGATTCAATTGGATTTTTTTGTGTTAGGGTCTGAAGCTGCTCAAGGCTTCTCTGCAGTCGAAGACTGTTCTGACCGATGTGTTCATTGATCGGAAGGCGGCAACTAAAAAAGCCAGGTGATGCTGGTGCGAGAAGTGTGCTCAGCGACCATTTTGGGACCTTTCTGTTAATATGTTGGAATGCGTGATCGATGGCTGTGTTTTGCGAATGGGAAGCGAGTGTGTGTCGCTAGCTAGATGCTTTGCGACATTAGAAAGTGTTAATTAGGTTTTGCGACATTAGAAAGTGTTAATTAGGTTTTGTTTGCAGTATAAAGTTGCATTATCGTCGTTATTTTCATTATATCCGTAATTTTGTCGAATTTAGTTGTGAAATGGGTAAGTTTTCTCGTAAAACTGATTATATAGCCAGCTTGATTGCATGCAAGGTTTTTGGCATTCAGGAACATTGTAACTCTTTTTGAGTTTCATCACGGTAGGGTTTTTGGTTTAATAAGAAGGAAAAAATGCTTCCAGCTCCCAAAAGCTAAGGAAACGTGCTTCCCACCCTCAAGACTTTGTCAACAGGTGTTTTACCCCTAAAAATAAAGATTATGTTCTTTGAACCTCCAAAACACAAAACCCAAGACATTAAAATATATGAAAACCATAATATCCTTCTCTCTCTCTCTTTTTTTATTAAAATATGATGAACATTATTTTATTATTTTTGTTTTCTCTCTCTCTCTTTATCATGAAGTATTGAGATGATAGTTGAAATGATTGATGATGATTATTTTATTATTTTCGTTTTTTATTATTTTGATTCTTTGTATTGGGAGATTGTTAAAGTTACGGGTTAATTGTTAAGGTTACGAATTAATTGTTAATGTTATGGGTTAATTGTTAAGGTTATGAATCCTCTCTCTCTCCTCTTCTTTTTTATTAAAATATAATGAGGATTATTTTATTATTTTTGTTTTCTCTCTCTCTTTATCATGAAGTATTGAGATGATAGTTGAAATGATTGATGAGGATTATTTTATTATTTTTGTTTTTTATTATTTTGGTTATTTGTATTGGGAGATTGTTAAAGTTACGGGTTAATTGTTAAGGTTACGAATTAATTGTTAATGTTACGGGTCAATTGTTAAGGTTATGAATCATCTCTCTCTCTCTCTCTCTCTCTCTCTTTATCATGATGTTTCTTTGATGATATTAAAATGATTAAAGAGAATTATTATTTTTTTTATTCTTTTTGTATTTTTAGAATATTCGTTGTTAAGGATAATGGTTGGTTGTAAAAGTTATGCATTGATTGTTAATGTTACGGGTTGGTTGTTAAGGTTAAGGATTTGTTGTTAAGGTTATGGGTTTGTTGTGTAGGTTACAGATTTGTTGTTAAGGTTACGGGCTTAATTATTAAGGTTACGGGTTTAATTGTTAAGGTTACGTGTTTAATTGTTAAGGTTACATGTTTAATTGTTAAGGTTACGATTTATTAATTGTTAAGGTTACGGGTTTAATTGTTAAGGTTACGAGGGAGAGAGAGAAGGGATCCATAACCTTAACAATTGACCCGTAACCTTAAAAATTAAACCCGTAACCGTAACAATTAAACTCATAACCTTAATTAAACCCGTAACCATAATAATTAAACTCATAACCTTAATTAAACCCGTAACCTTAACAATTAAACCCATAACCTTAACAATTAAACCATAACATTAACAATTAATAAACCATAACCGTAACAATTAAACCCGTAACCTTAACAATTAAACCCGTAACCTTAATAATTAAGCCTGTAACCTTAACAACAAATCCGTAACCTACACAACAAACCCATAACCTTAACAATAAACCCGTAATCTTAACAACCAACCGTAACCTTAACAATCAATGCATAACCTTTACAACCAACCATTATCCTTAACAACGAATATTCTAAAAATACAAAAAGAATAAAAAACAAAAATAATAATTCTCTTTAATTATTTCAATATCATCAAAGAAACATCATGAATTAAGCCTGTAACCTTAACAACAAATCCGTAACCTACACAACAAACCCATAACCTTAACAATAAACCCGTAACCTTAATTAACCCGTAACTTTAACAATCTCCCCAATACAAACAACCAAAATAATAAAAACAAAAATAATAAAATAATCATCATCAATCATTTCAACTATCATCTTAGTACATCATGATAAAAAGAGAGAAAAAACAAAAATAATAAAATAATCATCATCATTTTTTAATAAAAAAATAAGGAGAGGGAGAGAAGATTCATAACCTTAACAATTGACCCGTAACATTAACAATTAATTCGTAACCTTAACAATTAACCCGTAACTTTAACAATCTCCCAATACAAATAACCAAAATAATAAAAAATAAAAATAATAAAATAATCCTCATCAATCATTTTAACTATCATCTCAATATTTCATGATAAAGAGAGAGAGAAAACGAAAATAATAAAATAATGCTCATCATATTTTAATAAAAAAAGAAAGAGAGAGAGAGAAGAGTATTATGATCTTCACATATTTTAATGTCTTGGGTTTTGTGTTTTGGGGGCTCAGAGAACAGAATCTTTATTTTTAGGGGTAAAACACCCGTTGACAAAGTCTTAGGAGTGGGAAGCATGTTTCCTTAGCTTTTGGGGGCTGGAAGCATTTTTTCCTAATAAGAAATATAATATTTCCTACCGCAAATAATCCATTTTCATGGGAAATATATTGCATTATAGAACAACAACAATAGAACATTCTGCTTGGGATCTAAACACCGAAGGATTTAAAAGCTAAAAGAAGCACAAATTAAGGGGAAACTGTAAGGCATTAAACCTCCAAAGCATTTCACTAAAATGAGATTTAACTTCTGTGAAAAAACACTTAAACCATCTATTAATCCTCGAAATTAAAGAAAATTTAACGGAGATCAGTCCACTAATATTAATTCTTTTTTTTTTTGGTAAATAAAATTTTTATTCATCTCCAAATATGAAAGTTGTATATACATCACTGATCTCAATATGAGAGATAACAGAAAATGTGTAGCTAAAACTCAAGAAATCAGAGCTATAGCCAAAACACAGTAATTACAAAACAGAAACAAGAAATCTGTACATGCAAAAACAGATTCTAGAAATCCTCAGTGAAGACTTGAGCCTGAATTTCTAGTGTGCAGTATCCGTGCACGTTTGTGCATGCTCTATAGTGAGTGAATCCAGGCATCATAATCAGCAGAGATTTTTGAGTTTAGAAGAACTATCATAATATCAACTTTAATACCCTTCACTAGCTGCTCAACTGGCCTGTTCTTTTGCTGAAAAACTCTCATATTTCTCTCATTCCAGATTGCATAAATGGTGGCTGACAGAGCCATTCTCTTAACCCTTTGTTTAAGACCTTTTCCTTTCAATCTTGAACTGAACCAGTTTATCAAAACCTCCCAATTGCATGACCTCCAAGAGAACTGAAGCCAATCCATTATGCAATTCCATACATCACTAGAATAAGCACATTCAAAGAACATGTGACTTCTGCATTCCTGAAAAGTAGCAGAACACAAAGTGCAATGATTTGTATTTATTATTCCTCTTCTTAACAGTCTGTCTTGGGTATTCAGTCTGTTATTGATAGCTAACCAGCTAATGAATGAGTGTTTAGGATAGCATAAACTCTCCCAAATAGTATTGTGCCATTGAACATTACTGGTGCCTGGAGTTAAAGCATGGTACACAGCTGATAACTTCAATTTTCCTCCTCTATTACAAGAACCAATTAACTGAATTAGATTACCAACTCCTCCACAGAAATTCAAAGCCTTGTCCCTTGCTTTGAGTAATTGTTTCCACATCCAAGAGTCCCCTGGTCTTGCTTTAACATGCCCGATATCCATTTGCTTCAAATAGGTACCATGAATCCATTTTATCCACATTAATTCCCTATTAACATGAATATTCCATAAGTTCTTTAAAGCAGCTGCAAGATTCCAAACTGTAGCAGAGAAAATGCCAAGCCTACCCCGTTTTTTACCCAGACAAGCTTTGTCCCAGGATACTAAGGGAATTTTGGATGTTTGATCTGAACTCCCCCACAAATAGTTTCTGCAGATTTCATCCATTTTCTGTGTAACCTTGACTGGAAAAATGTAATTTGAAGTCCAATAAATCTGAACTCCCAAGATGATACTCTTGATCACTTGTAATCTGCCAGCAAATGTAATTTGAAGTCCAATAAATCTGAACTCCCAAGATGATACTCTTGATCACTTGTAATCTGCCAGCATATGTGAGTTTTCTGTGCTTTTGCCATGTCTCCCAAGATGATACTCTTGATCACTTGTAATCTGCCAGCATATGTGAGTTTTCTGTGCTTTTGCCATGTATGTATTTGGCTAGTAATCTTGTTTAAGAGAGAATTACAATCTTCATAAGACAACCTTTTGCAAACTAGAGGAACACCCAAGTATCTAATAGGGAAACAACCTTCAGATAAACATAGTTGAGCTTTAATAGCTACTTTTACAGATTCATCAACCCATCCAAAGAAAATAGAGGATTTCTCCTTATTAGCTTCAAGACCAGAAATATTACCAAAGTCTGTGACACATTGATAAAGTTTCTTGACTGAATACAGGTCTCCTTTACCAAAGAGCAATAGATCACCGGCAAAGATTAAATGGGTGATCTTCATTTTGCCACATCTAGGATGATATTTAAACTGTTTATCTTGTTTCAAAAGGTCTAAGCTCCTAGACAAATACTCCATACCCAGAATGAAGAGATATGGTGAGAGTGGATCACCTTGCCTCAAACCCCTTTCTCCCTTGAAATAACCATGCAGTGTACCATTTAGGGAGATGGAATATTTGGGTGTAGATATACACACCATGATCCAGTCAATAATCCTTTTTGGAAAACCAAGCCCCTTGAGCATTTCTTGCAAAAATTTCCAACTTATGGTATCAAATGCCTTCTTGATATCAATGTTAAGCTCATGAGCCAACAAAGTATTGCTTGTTATTTGCCTACCCTTAATGAAAGCACTTTGAGCCTCATTCACCAAGTATCCTAAAACAGATTTGACTCTATTTGCCAGGATTTTAGAAAGAAATTTGTAAAGACTATTACAGCATGAGATTGTTCTAAAATCTGAAGGTGTTTTAGGGCAATGTATCTTAGGTATAAGAGTAATAGAGGTTGAGTTTAATGTACCCAAGAGTTTTCCTGAAGTGAAGAATTCCTCCACTGCTTGTGTGATTTCATCACCCACAATCGACCAAGATGATTTGTAAAAACATGCACCATACCCATCAGGTCCAGGAGCACTATTATCTGACATTGAGAAAATAGCTTCTTTAATCTCTTCTTTGGAAACAGTTCTCTGCAAGAAATTATCTTGAGAATCACTTAAACATGGGCCTGATTTAATCACATTCATATCAGGAATTATAGTATCAGTAGCTCTCCCCATTAGATTTTTGTAGTATAACACAAATTCCTTTGCAATTTCATCACTATCAGTCATCCTTTCTCCAGAATTCTTATAAAGAGCTAAAACTCTATTGTGATGCCTGTTAGACTTCAAGACTTTGTGAAATAAATCTGTACATCTGTCTCCCTTGATACTCCAAGCAATTCTGGACTTTTGATGATAGAAAGATAGTTCACAATCCAGCAGTTTGTTATATAAAGCTAAGCATTCTTTTTCTCTGTTAATGAGAACAGGACAAATAAGGTTGCTTTGAAGATCTTTCTGGACTTCTTCTAGAGCTAATTTTGTTCTCTGGACTTGTTGACTTATATTGTTGAAATGATTCCTGTTTAATTCCTTGAGAGAACCTCTCAGCAGCTTCAATTTTGACCAAACTGAGAACATTTTATATCCTTTAACTTCATTGTGCCATATGCTGGATACTGTAGGCAGGAAATTTTCATGTTTAATCCACATATTGAAAAATTTGAAAGGCCTCTTTCCCAGCTTAAGGTCATCCCAAATGGAGATTAAGCCTGGAGAATGGTCAGAAAAGCCAGGTAGCAAATATTCTACTTGACTAGAATTATACTCATGCAACCATGAGTCATTCACCAAGGATCTATCTAGTCTACTCCACACTCTTGAACTAGAGTCTTGTTTATTATTCCAAGTGAAAAAACACCCAACTGTCTTAAGATGATTTAGGTGACTATCACTTATAAAATCCCTGAGATCTTTTATGTCACCCTCAGATAAAGTAGATCCCCCAAGCTTTTCATCATTATTGACCATAGCATTGAAATCACCACTGATAAGCCAAGGAATATCACCAATAGCTTGTTGAATATGTTTTAATTCTGACCACAGCTCCTTCCTTGCTTCTGCTTGATTATATCCATAAATTGTTGTAGTTACACAATTGATCCTCCCATCCAGAGATTTGACAGAACAAGTTATATGATTCATCATTTGAATATTCAGAAGATTTGGGTCCCAAAGGATCATTATTCTAGCTTTACTAGTATCTCTTACATTAGCCTCCCATCTCCAATTATGTGCTATTTTCCTGGCAATTATTGGCAACATATTTTCTTTAATCTTTACTTCAATCAGACCTATAAAAGGATGTAATGTTTCACCAAGTGTTGCTTAGAGGATTTATTTAATCCTCTAACATTCCAAAAGTACCAATTCATAATTTTCTCATCCCCCCTCTATCAACTGTAGAGGGATCTTGAGTTCCTGGGGAGAAACCTCTCCTAACTTTACTGTTTTGCACTTGTGACCAAGCATTTACATCTTGAAGACCTTTGTTTCTAGTATCCACACTCCCATAAAACAGATTTTGCATATGCACCACATGCACAGGAATATTTGGAGTAACCTGCACATCAGATATGAATACCTGTTTTGACCCCTGATTATCCACAATGTGTACATCCTGAGTATCAGATATATGCATTTGGTCAGCAACTAGTCCACTATTCCCAGGCTTATGCTCAAGCCTATGTTCTCTTAAATTTCCTGAGTTATGAGGAGTGGATTCTGAACTAGGATTCAGTGAATTAGTGTTGCCTTGAACACAAATTCCAGAAACATCTTGCTTATCATGATTGCAAACATTCTGTGCATTCTGTGCATTTTTTGGAACCCATCTTTGAGTCTTTGGAAATCTTCTGCAGAACATTGTGTCATGCCCTACAATCTTGCAGTTATCACACCATTTTGGTTTCAATTCATATAACACCTTTTGTTTTATCATCACACCATTAGGGCCATGAATTGAGACTTGATCAGGAAGAGGGGCTGGCATATGAACTTCAATAAGAACCCTAGCATACGATAGCCTCTGTCTGCTAGCTGTGAGTTTATCTGTAGCTATAGGTCTTCCAATTAGACTTGCAATTTTACTAAGGCTTTTTGAGTTCCAAAGATTAAGTCTAAGAGCAGGAAATTGAATCCACATAGGATAAATATAATCATTTAATCTCTCAATTTCATCTCCACTCGTCCATGTTTTTAATAACAGAGGTCTTGATCCAAAGAACCATGGTCCATTAACAAGAATATCATTCATTTCATCCTTATTCTTGAACTTGAACAGGAAAATGCCTGGCTTAAGAATGCAAATCTCTGGAATTACCCAACGAGCCCAGACTTTATGAATAAAATTTTCCATGACTTTAAACTTTGCATTTAGGCCCAACACTTGACCAATTAAGGAGAACTGCCACATTGAATTTCCCTTATTCCATTCGTCCTCATAAAAAATCACAGTATCATTGGATGCAGGTGAAACAAAATTTAAACTCATTCCTGAACCAGATTTCCCATTGTCTGTGAAAAGACTAGCCCAACTCTTAGCTGGATTTTGGCATTCAGTTTTGGTTTCCAATTGAGGAACATCAACTAAATTTGATTTTGAAGATTTTAAAACCAAATTCTCCATGGGAGACTCAGTAACAGGATCTTGATTTGCAAATTTATTTTTGACTCCATTCAGGTCAGCAACAGAATCCAGATCAGATTTAGCATCAAGAATTCCCTTAGTTTTCAGTTCAGAAGAGCTAGACTTAAGATCAAAATTATTGTCGAGATTCCTAACAGATCCCGTCTCTTGATGCCGAGGCAAAGAATCAACCTCTTCAGCCCAAGAAACTTTAGCAGAACTACAAGCAGGACTAGAAGACTCACCTTGAAGATATCGAGATTGAAAACCATTGGATCTTGAGGAGAAAGGAACTGGATCAGGAGCAGAGTTCAATAAATCCGACAGTAGAACCTTCTTCTTCTCACCAATTGGACCCGTAGATCCCATCAGATCAACATCAGATTCATCTTCATCTTCAAAGAAAACAGTATCAGAAGAATTAACAAGTGAAGAAGAGCTAGGATTCGAAGCTCGCACTCCAATTTCAAGAATTTTTTCCCCATTTTCCCCTTTTTTCCTTTCAAAGCGGGGGTGCACGTTAGCGGGACAAAAATCGCCCTCTAACCTGCGCCTTCAGACATTCCCGCTACTTTTTTCTTCTGTCTACTAATATTAATTCTATTAGTCCTAATGATCCTTCCCTTCCATATATCTATTAATGCAACTTTTGTTGTATGTGTTCGCGGGAAAATTCGTTGCTTTCTTCATTAATGATTCCATTGTACACTCTTGTAATAGTTTATCGATTACAAAGATCCGGTCTTTTTATAAGATCCGGTTACAACGAAAATCAAATAAAAAGAAATGAAAAATTACAACTTTGTTTCCTTATTTGTCGAACAAATCGCGAGCTCCTGTTTTGCGGTCGCTCGCTTTGTGGTTTCTTTGCCTGCGTCGGGGTTAATCCGTGGACCACCGCGCGATCTAGGTCCGGTCGGATCTACACGATTATACGGGTATTATTCCACGAAGGGAATAATAGCCGGGGAGGATTGGTTCACCAAGCACTACAACAAAACTGTTTTTTTATAGCATTGAATGATAGCGTTTATATTGTAAGTGCTATAGATGGTATATACCTTATTTTTTGATAGCGTTTGGAAATTTTTAAACGCTATGAGTAATTAGGGCTGAGCATGGTTCGGTTCAAACCGAAAAAACCGACCGAACCGACCCGAAAAAAACGGTTTTAAAAGTAAGACGGTTCGGGTCGGGTTGACAACTTTTTAAACCGAACCGACCCGAACCGACCGAATATATTCCCAAAACTTTCAAACTCGTTTGTGTTTACCCGACCCGTCCCAAACCCTCAACCCTAACTTCATTTCCTCTCATTCCCAAATCACAGCCGCCGCTACTCATTCCCAATTTCCCATTTCCCTCGGCCTCAATCCCTCTCTCTCGCTCTCTCTCTTCTTCCAAGACCCCTTACTCTCACCTCCTCTTCCCGAAATGCCCATCTCCCCCTCCCCCTCCCACAAGCGTGGCGGCCCCTTCGGCGACGAGCGTTAGGAGTTCTCCTTCAACTGCATCAAGAAGTCCAAGTCTTCCGACGACTCGGAGGTTTGCATCTGGGCGCATATGAAAACAAATATATACAAATTATCTCTTGGGACAAGCAATAGTTGTGCCTTTGATTGTTATATTTGATGAAAGTTAGAACCGAACAAACCGAACCGAACCTCACCGAACCGATTTGCAACGGTTCGGTTCGGTTTTGAATTATAAGTGGTTCGGTTCGGTTGTTCAAATTTTGCTAAAAACCGACCCGAACCGAACCGTGCTCACCCCTATGAGTAATAGTAGGCAATTTTTTTTGTTCGGACGGCTTGAAAACTTAAGCGGGAGACTGAAAATTAAAACAGGCTTCATTCGTCTCCTCCCTCCCCCCAATTTCATTGGTCCCGCCCCGAGAAAAAAAAACCCTAACCCCAAAAAATTCCGCTGCCCTTAATCTGCTCCCTCAGACGCCCCCCTCTCCCTCTCTCTCTCTCTCTCGTCTATCTCTCCTCTCAGATCTCTCTATCCGAGATCCAGGGGCGCCGCTGAGGCGGTTCCCCCGGTTCTGCGAACAGGGCCCCCCACTTGGGGGCCCCCCATTCCTCCTCCTCTTCCCCTCTCACCCTCCCCAAAATTCTCCATCGTCATCGACGCCGGCAGCACCGGGACCCGAATCCACGTGTTCGGGTACAAGGCCCGACCCAGATCTGCGATCCCTTTTGAGATTGATCTCGACTCGACGGCGGAGATGAAGGTGAGGCCTGGGCTCTCGGCTTTTGCGGGGGATCCGGGGAGAGCCGGGGATTCGTTGAGGGAGTTGGTGGAGTTCAATCTTGGCTCGATTCTCTAGAAACGAGTTCAGTCTGGATTCGAAAGCCACCATTGGGGTTGAGTTTCAGACTTGAACCCTCGCGATTGATCACAAGACCGTCAAGGCCCAGATTTGGGGCACCGCTGGCCAAGAAAGGTAATAAATAAATTCTTCGAATTCTGGGTATAATTTGATTTGTAGAGGATATTTTTGTTAATTATGTTTGAATAATGGAAAAGATGCCGCGGCATTAGTTGATCTTTCCTCTGAGATGCGGCGCATTGGGGAAGGATTTTAATGTTCAAATGCCACCAGATACATGAATTTAAAGCAGAATTCAAAATAAATGCTGCAGCACGAATCCATGTTTCGATACATGACAAAGGCACGCAATCTGTTAACGCATATTAGAATATTGTTGTTTCGATTGAGGTAGATTACTGGGCGCTTTCACAGAACCTCGCATGAAACTTAGCTCATTCGATAAAATTGTTTCTTGGATTAACTTTGTACGTTAGGAACTGGCTGTTGACCATCTGTTTTTTTTTGGGTCCTTGTTTGTTTCCCCCCCTAATAATGGGATTAATGGAGATGATATTTGGTGATTATTACAAGGCATTGGGAGTTTGACTTGATAGGATATCTAGTTCTGTTCTTTAGATGGAAATAATTGATAGTGATTCCAATATAACCTCCATTTTCCCTTGCACTTCTTAAACCCCATTGTGATCTTGTTCATTTTGCTTATCCAATCACAAACCTCGAAAAAACAATAAAAGTGACTGCTATTTTATGTTAAGACAGCTTTAAAATCTTGGTTTATCATGGTTCTAGCTCTTCTTTATTGGAATTACTATTCGGAATGGTTGTAATAAGAAGAAAGGCATCCACGTAGAGACACCGGAATTGTTGGAGGTAAAGTGTTTATTGTTGCTGTTCTTGACCTTGTTGTACGAGTCATTTATTTGCTGGTATATAATTCATCAATATAACCTCATCAATATAAGAGAAACCCTCATCTCAATGCGCATGCCTACCTACTCATAAATCCTCAAATGACATTATGCCGTTTGACTGTAATATATGAGTTTGGTTAGATGTGGCTAGTTTATGGACCATATCTTTAATAATATTGTTTTTCCTCCGTTTTTTTTTCAACCTTTTCTTTCACAAAAAGGATTAGAACTTTTCAGTACATAAACTTTAATCCCTTTTGAGGGTTGCCGGCTTTTATGTCTCCAACTTACTTCAGTATCATTGGTTCACACCACTTGACGATGCATGTGAAGCTTTATAGGACTTGTTCTAGATGTCCTTGTATACGCCTGAAAATGGTCAGTAGATCCTCTTAAAGTTTTCTAGAGTGCCCTTTTCTATGGGAAAAAAAATCCTTTAATTCCTAGTCTTAGTTTGGATTCTAATTCTTGCACTGCTCTTGGATAATTTTACAAGTGAAATATGAGAGGATGAATCAGGCGAATGATTATGACTGCTTTGAAGTTCGATACACATATTGGATGAACGCAAGCTTCTGTTGATCATTGTAGCATGGGTTTGGATTTCTTCTGTTCTGGCTGCTGACTTGATGATTGGTTTAAAGATAACTTTTCTTAATTACTTGTGTGGATGTTTTTTAATGAGTTAAAGAGACTTTAACAAGCCTGCAGCTTTCATTGGTTTAAGAGCCGATAGCAGAAGACTCCTTTCAGCCCTCTGCCATGCTACCCTCCGTCAAATTTTATAGGATTGATTGCAGGGTAAACTCTATATGCTATCGCCAATTTGAGATCACTATCCGTCAAGTTCTAGTGTGTTGCAGATAGATGGCTTATATTGCAGCTCCCGAGTGGCAGAAACATCATGCTGCTTTGATTACACTTGCACAGATTGCAGAAGGTTGTTCAAAGGTAACTGGAAGTTTAAATTGATTATTGATTGAGAACTTGGTGCTTCTTTGTAAACATAGTATATAGTTTATGCTGTGTCTGTTATGTAGGTCACGATTAAGAATTTGGAGCAAGTGGTGCACATGGTCTTGAACTCATTTCAAGATCCACATCCAAGAGTGAGATGGGCAGCGATTAATGCCATTGGACAGCTTTCTACGGATTTGGGTCCGGATTTGCAAGTGCAGTACCACCAGAGGGTGCTACCTGCTTTGGCATCTGCGATGGATGATTTCCAGAACCCTCGTGTGCAGGCAAGTAAATTCATATTGTTATGAAATCTTATGAAAAGATGTTTGTAATTACATTGTGAAGCCATAGTTCTTTTCTGATTTATGCCAAAGAGCCCAATGAAATGGTTCATAGCTTTAACAATATTTTATCAAAAGCATAGATAAATTAGGATGACCCAAAATTAGAGGGAGAGACAATAAGACCCCTAGCATGAATTTAAATTGTCAATACTTTGGGTTATACAAATACAACTAACATCACATATTTCATTTCAGTTTATAAAGTGAGCTATAACATGTCCTAGTTTAAATGCACATGTTTATGAAATGATGTCTTCTTCCTTATCAATCTTTTTTTAAATGCAGGAAACATCTCATGAAGAACAAGCATGTAAGTTAATACTGCTATTTATTAATATTAAATAATTACTACTCCAGATTGCATTAGTTGACTTTCCTTCATAATAGAAAAACTTTAGGGAGAGGAAGCATGAATTCCAAAACTTTGTTACAAAGATAATCATTCTGGATTCCATGCTTTAATGGAGGAATTTATGGTTCTTCAAATCCAAGTTCAGGCTAAACCTTTTGGGAGTTTATGCCTTGCTTAAACAAAGAATTCCATGATCCAAGAATGACTTTATTCATCAAATTCAAGTTGATCTGGATCAAGTATTAACGAGGTCCAAGTTATATTTTTCTCACAATCCAGAAGCATTCTCTTCTAATTTAGTTTTTAACATCAAATTTCTTTAGCGTATGTAATGTGTATCCTTTTGTTTTTTATTGTGCTACTTCAACCTGAACAAAAAAAAAACTGTGATAAGATAAGACACCAAAATATTCGAGTCAGCTAACTTTGATCAGTTCACTGATGTAGTAGCACAATAAAAATAAAGTGACACCAACCATCCTCGTTTATTCATGTTGCATCTCAGGTTTAGTACTGGTAGCAGTTTCTTTTGAGTTTACATTTTGCGCGTGTTTATTTGTGATTTTGATATATGTATAATTTGTTTCACATATGAAACCAGGTTTAACTATATAGATACTTACCTTTATTTTTTCTAAGTCAGATAAACGAGGATGGTTGGTGAGACTACAAAGATAGGTCAGCGTAAAAGGAAGAACAGTATTATGGTATAGTTATCGCACGGTCATATACCTGTATTATCCTTTTCTGCTTTTTGTTATTTTAGTTTTCTATATTTGTTCTATTTTTTACGTTTCTCCTCTTAATCTTGTTGTTTCATCGTGTTCTTTTGTATGTTTCCTACTCCTTAGGAATTAGACAAGTATTTTGATTTTTAGATAAATGTCATACAATTTGGTTGTAATTACTTATGTTTAGCCAAAACCACTTAACGAATTAATATAAAATGAAATGCCAACTCAGTCCTCAACATATGAAACAACCATTAATTAAGGATAATTTTAATCTCGGTACATGTGCATCAATCATTTATTTGCATCAGGCACTCGATAAACCGATAAGGTATTCTTTGTAGAACTTAATTTCATAATTCATGAAAGCTTAATTAATGACAGTTTAATTGGAGTACCTACTTCTTCTAGGTGGAGAATTATGCGAGGGATGTGAATGCCATGGAAGGCCTTACGCAAGTCAGTCAAGAAGCTCCCCAAGATGGACCAGTTACAAAGTTGTTATGCTTTGAAAAGCTGGTAAGTTATACATCTTGCAATCGTGTGTTTTTACTTTATCATGTTTGTTATAGTTGTAATTTTGGTGTTAATTTCTGTTTTTGCAGCAGTACTAGTACTCAATTTCTGAAGATGATGAGTCTCCCAAGTCATATGTAATGCAACAAAGTTAGTTTTTGTTGTTCTGTGTACTATGGTTAATTTCTTGTACTCCATGTTGGATTATCCAAAGACTAGTATTTGTTTTTTGGCACGTTTGTGTTGACTCTTCCTGTATGCTACAACTTGGTTATGTATCAGTTTGAACGTTTAAATGAAATATTTGCTTTTATGGTTGTCACAATTGGAAGTTATTTCTAGTTCAACCTCAAAGGTTTATAGGCACAACTGAAATGCTATAAGAAGTGAAAACAATTACTGAAATGCTATTAAAAGAAGAAAGACAACATTCATTAAAACGCCATTGTAGTAACTCAAACACTATTAAATGTAAGACAATAGCAGCGTAGAAATGCTATGAATGAAAACTAACTAATAGCGTTTTTCAACCGCTATGAAAGATATTTGTCATAGCAATATAGAAACGCTATTGAATACTCTTTTATAGCTACATAAAAACGCTATGGTTGGAAACTAACTAATAGCGTTTTTCAACCGCTATGAAAGATATTTGTCATAGCAATATAGAAACGCTATTGAATACTCTTTTATAGCTACATAAAAACGCTATGGTTGGAAACTTTTTGATAGCGTTTGGGGAAACGCTATGTAAAGCCACAGACCTACTATAGCGGGTTCTGACACAGCGTTGATTAAAACGCTATGAAATAATACCATAGCGTTTTTCGACCGCTATGGTAGATTTCAGGTGTTGTAGTGAAGGAAACAATCGTCCAGATCTCGGGATCTAAGACCAAGCTTAGATCCGGAGTGTGATATCGTGTAGATCTCAGATCTGTTCTTTGCCTCCTCTCGAAATCCTGCCTTTTCTGACGTAGGTGCTCGCCGAGGATCAGATCTGTACGTGCAAGTCTTCAAGTCTTCAAAGCTCTGAGTTCACTCTTCAATCCGGCAGAGTTTTGGCTCTTGAAATTCCAACCCCTCAAATGAACAACCCCTTGGCCTATTTATAGGCACCCAGATCTGTGCCTAGGCACAGATCTGGGCCGGCCACCTCAGGGTGGCTCGGCTCTGGGCCGAGCCACCTTGAGGTGGCTCGGCCTTTGCCGAGCCACCTTGAGGTGGCTCGGCCTTTGCCGAGCCACCTTGAGGTGGCTCGGCTTGGGCCGAGCCACCTGAAGTTGGCTCGGCTTCGGCCGAGCCGCTTAGGTGGTGGGTTTGTTGTTTTTCGTTGTTTCGCGGTTTTTTTCTGTGATTCGGTTCTGTTTCGATTTGTTGATCTGATTTGGTAGTAAGTCTGATTCCTGATTTGGCAGTAAACCCGCTTCTGAGTTCGAGTCGCCGAAACTGATCTTGATTTCGATCGTGATTCGTCGAGTCGCGCTCTCGTTGATGATCGTGACTCTTTAACACTTGGCTTGATTCCGAATGCGTATGGATGCATTCCGTCGCTTGCGTGGGATTCGTCGATCTCGTCGCCTCGTTGGTTCGTCGGTTTGTGCGAGCTATGCTAGGGACCTATAAGCATGTTTATATGCCTACAGATACCCTCCAAAGGTATTTCAGTCTCGTTCTTTAATAGAAGAGTCTGGATACTTTGGATATGATCGTCCACTTCAGTCGGTGTAACGGGACTTGGAATGATCTCCGTTCTTGATTCCTTCAATCTTCCCAGGCTATTCGGTGCTTTGTCGAATATCTGTAAGAGTTCCGGTGCTGCATTTATTGTCTGACGGTTGTCGGAATTTTAAACTTGGGTTGATTCTTGACTTTTAGCTAAACATCGATTGTTGTCGCGTCTTTATTTGCAACGCGTTGTCCGGCGTAGTGTTGTTGAGTTTATCTTAAAGAATATTTTTAGAAAATATTCTCCAGAACTTCTCAACTAAAATTAGGGAAAGGTTATACTCATATACCTTATTGGATCTCTTTAGGTTCGAATAATCTGCAACCGGCTCAAAAAAATGTGCCAAAAAGGCAGTATTTGGGTTCAAAAATCTCTCGACTCTTCCAAATATATGGTAGAGGGGTAAATAGGTGAAGGAATGAACCGTAGGTTGATCAAAAGTCGTTCCATGCTTAATTCAGGCTTCAATTTGAATTCTGGTTCAATTTGGTCAATGTTGGCATTTGGCCAAACTGGCTATCATTTGGTTCAATTACGGCTCATTCTGGTTTCGTCTGGTCCTGTCCAGCTCAATCTGCCTCATATCTGGCTCATTCTGGGTCAATCTGGCTCATTCTGGTCCATTCTGGTCCATTCTGACTTGGTCTGGTTCAGCCCGGTCTGGTCTGGTTCAGCCAGATCTGGTTCAAGGCTATAAAAGCGTGCTTTTATTTTTTTTTTTCTTTTTCCTCCCTCTTTCCTAGCCGGCCACCCCTCCTTCTTTTGATTTTCTACTCACAATCTTTTTCTCCTAAAACTTGTATTTGTCTTGATTCGAATTCCGTTTTGATCCTTGACTGAAAAATCCTTCGAAACTGCCATTTTTGAAATTTCTCTCAGGTCCCTCGAGCGCGTGGTTCGAGCACTTTTCAAGATCTAATCTTTATTGGATCTTCGAGCTTCCCCTCAGGTATATCTCCATAATTTTAGCATTTTTTTATGCTTAATTTAATTTATGAACTCGTGGGGTTGCGTGCGAGGGTTAGGATTATGATTCGTCGCCTCGAGCTTATCTTTCAGGGGGTAAAAATGTGATTTTTTCTAGATCTAACCTCTTGATTTTCTTTGTAGGTAGTTATTTTGCAGGCCGTCATGTCTCGCGCCTCGAGAGGTCGTTCCCCTGCCATGTCGGTTGATGGCGCGCCTCCCTCTTATGCTGGTGAGCTACTTTTTGCAAATAAACCCTTTTTTCTTATAAATTTGTAAATTGACCCTTTTTTAAACCCCACGTTGTTCTCCTTGGCGAGGCAATCGGGAAGAGCCTTGATTCTCCTTGGTGAGGATTGACGCTTTATGGAAATTTTGCAAATTAACCCTCTTCTTCTGAGAATTTGCAAATTAGTCCTTTTACCCCATTTTGCTCTCCTTGGTGAGGCGATCGGGAAAAGCCTTGATTCTCCTTGGTGAGGATCGACGCTTTAAAGATGGGTTTTGCTTGGTCAAAACCATATCTCAAAATAAATAAAGGGGGCGTTTTGACGCTGCATTGTGCCTTATAAGGCAGGGATATATTATCGATATACCCTATCTTATAAATGCACGATGTGGCCAAATCGTCTCGCCCTTTATAAGGTAATGACTCTATCTTACCAATTTGTAAGATGAGTTCAATTTCCTTTTATATCTGAAACTAACAAACACTTAATTGCTTGTTTTCAGTGGAGTATCCTTTCGGAGCCTTTCCATCGTATGCGGTATACGGGCGTCGTGGCGAGTATTATTCGACCTCCGACGATGTTTCCCCTATCCCAGTCACCC